TTAACATTAATTAATTTTAATCAATTTCCCGTGAATAGGTTTAGAATTATCATAATTCCCCCATTTGGGATAATTGTAATAACATAGCTATTTTTCATGGGGTAATTATGATAACTACAGCCAAAATGAACTTAAAGCATTTAGTTTCAACAGGAAACTTGGAGTAAACTGACTAAAAAGTACGCCATCTTGTAGAGAATTTTCTGCTCTATCTCCCATATGAATTGTCAGTCAATTGGACTTAATCTAAATTAGTTGATTAGAAATTACGAAAAGTAAAAGACATAACCATTCTTTTCATTTTTCTTCTTTGGGGTAATTATGATAATCCCGCGTAAATCACACGGATAGATAGGAAACAATCTTCACCGTCTCTCAGAACCCAATTTTGGTGCTACAGCTAAAATATCCTGTGAGCTGACTATATTCCAAATCCCGGCGACGAAATTAAGACAAAAATGATTCAGAGAGAGAGAGATTATACCATATTGTAACGTATTATTTGTAAGATAATAGAAAGGAAAATAACAATCAGGAGTCTCCCTCATATCCCATATCCCAAAGTCCAAGGTACCAAGGTATCATATCAGCATTTGAGAAATTTAAGTACAAACTAAGAGGATTGTGTATAAGTGATGTGCAATTCGTCTCTCCGGAAAGTCAACAAAAAAAAATATAACCTGATTCTGCTATAAAGCTCAGAAATGTTCTAGCAGCCTAGAAGACTCTCAGTTTCGGCTATAAAATCAAACTTTTCGGTCGTTTTCATCTGACGGGTTATATTGCAAACGTTATAAAGCAACGTTTATGCGCTCAGCAGCTAATACTGCAGAATTCGCTGTGGCAGTCTATACTTTAAAATGCTGTGATAGCTATCTCCAAGATGAGGGATAAACAACAAACAGCACTTGTTAAACATTCAACCTTACAGCAAATATTTATTGACCACTCAGAGAATACTTTTCGTACCACCAGCGCGCGCGCCTTCAAACTCAAGATTAGATTTCCGAAAAGAATAACAAAATTACAATTAATTTATCGCTTCTGTTAAAAAAAAGACAAAAAAGAAAAATGAAATTTCGTTCTCCTTATTTCAAATTCTTCATTTTCTTGCTCCTTCTTATCATATCATTCACACTTGCAATCATTGAACCTTATAATTCAGCTGCTGCTCTGCTAAACTCACTTGAAGAATGCTTAGGCTATGAAGGAGATTTACCCAAAAAGCTAGTTAACAATCAGGATAATAAAATCAGGCCCATAACTAGATTGATAAGAGTTTCAAGCTTCTTTTTATTCGAAAAGGTCAAAGTAAACGCACTAATACACTTTTAAACTTAACGAATGCTGGCGCTGTCAGGTTTTTCTGCCGGTTTAATCGCAAGAGGTGTCTCAAAGGTAAAAAAGAGGCATCTCGTTAAGACTTTCTTTGTCATTTAAGCATAGTACGCTGTGAGTCACATACATTTAAAATTTGATATCGAATTTTGAGTATTTCCAAACTCCCAGATCACTAAACTTTGCGGAAAAAAACGAATTTTAAAAAACGGCAGCTATGTGGTTTAAGGCAGCTATGTGTATTAAAAATATTTGGATGTTTAACTAATCTTTCTCTTACTCAGAATTCAATGCTCATTCTCAATCTGTGGTATAAACAGAGACAAAAAAAATGATTTTGGTAGGGAGCATTATCGCAGCAAATGATCTTCGTGCCTAAAATTTTTTTTAATTTTTCCTTCCCTTTAACAAGTGATAAACAAAATGTTGGACTGCATCAAAAACATTGGAAGTTACGACATTCCCTTCAATCCCGCACAATGGATTCAGGAAATTCTTGAAGATTCTCAAGGACCCATGAATCAATTTCACAAGGAAAACACCTCATCTAGTGATGTAGTTGAAATTAACTGTAATTTCTCGGGTACAACTGTCAATGAAAAAACATGGCAAATTCAATTTTCAATCTATGCTCGTGTTCCATGGGAATATAGAGATACACCACGGCATTATGGCGGTCGAATGGAATGGACATATGTTGATGGAAATACGAGAAAATGTTCGGTAGCACAGGTATGGGTTGAAGAGAAGGTGAGCTGGGGTTTGCCGACTGAAAGACAGTATGAACCAGAAGAATATTCAAGTGGAAATAAGGAAAAAATATTTGATGATGGAGGTAGAGCTGAATGGAAGTGTACATCAACGAGACACCCACACTAGAAATGACCTTTGACCTCCGTCGTAACTCCAAATAATGCCTACCTGTAGAAGACTAACATATTCTTTTTTTTCTTGTATCTCAAAACAGTTTTTATTTTTTCGTTCGTAAAAAAAGTAGGGTAAAGCCATATTGAACGAACCCTGGCTATATCCATGTGAAACCTACCGTCAATACGTCGACCTAGAGTGCCAGGTTTGAAAACCACATTTTGCGATGTAGTTTTGCAAGCTGATTCCAACGCTGAAAACCGCAGCTCTCTAGCCGGTGCAGAAAAAACGTTATGGCGAGTATAATTTTCCTGGAAAACGGCCTTTTTTTACTATTTCCCAGCCAAAAGTGCCATTTTGTGACGCTCATAGCGGCTGCTCCGCAGCTGATAGAACCTTCGTTTTGGTCTCAAATGAAAGATCTCGACAAGATCTTTCAAAATGATCCCTCAAAAATCATGTGGAGCGGGTTTAACAAGGTCTCCCGAAAACCTGGTTTTTCAGAAACCCTCCGAAAACCCAACTCAAGCCAACCAAAATCTGAGGCAGCCAGTGGATAGAGTGTTAGATGTGCTTCGAAGTGAGATCGTCCGCAAGTTTTTGCAACGTCTATGAGAAGTTATACAGAAAACACTTCGAAGCAGAAAACTAGAAAACCAGCTCATCCTTTCACGGGAAAATTGCTGTTATTTCGAGAAACCTCTACAAATATTTACAGAAAAGCCACAAAAACTTGCGCAACATCTCATTTTGAAGCAAATTTAATGCTCCATCCACTGGCTGATTCAGAGTTTGGTTAAAGGGTCTTGAATTTCATTACACAAATCTTGGTGTGTAACGAAATTCAGTTCTCAATGGGTGAAAACATGAAATTTCTACAAATATATTTCAGTTAGTGGTACCATTTGTGATTAATCTGACATAAACAATTTTATTCATATTCAGTTTAACACACCGTAAATCTCTAACGTCAATGAACAACCATAAAGGAAATTATTATTCGCTGTTGAAAAAACATATGTAAGTCCAGTCATTCTTATTTGTGTCAGTTCACCACGTTTAACCCTCACGTTTGTAGGTGCATGTATTAACTCTCAATGGCAAAAATATGTATACTTGATATTTTATCTTATTTCATCCCTCCCATCAATTAGTACAATATTTATCTTTGTCTCGATATCACCCAGGTAATCAAAAGTATCTTTTTCGGGTGACAAAAGAAATTGAACCCCGACGAACAAGAGCGTCGACAACAATCGTTACACGGCTATTTCGCGAACGACTCTTTCGCAAATTTTCTTAAAACAAACTTAGGTATTTCTGGCGGTGGGGAAGGAGGAGGGCAGTGTGAGAGTGAGTTCGAAAAGTAGTTTCATATAAAAGATATTTGCTTCGGATAGTGTTTCGCTTTTTGATGTTCTTATCTGGTATGTCAGCTTAAAGCTATTTTAAAATGTTTTTAGCGACTACGTCCAGTAAAACGCTATTAGTAAACCCCGCTACGGAATACGAAAATATTCAATAATAATTTCGATCCAGTTTTTATTAGTAAGTATGAATTAGATATTAGTTTTTCTTGTACTCAAAGAAAAAGTGCAGAAGAAGCGAAAAGAATACATTATTAGCTATTTGCGGAAGAGTCGTCGGAGTCCTGTTCGCGGAAGAGTCGGTGATTCGACAACAATGAGTCCATAAAAAATCATCCAAATAAAAGCGTTAAGTGGTAAGCATAGTAGTTAAGTGCATACTGCATAAATGAATTGTCAAAAGTAAAGTTCAAAATACTCTTCCTGATAATTTATTCAATTACATTGGAAACATACAACATGACGTTTCAAACATTGATACGAATGAACAGGGCGATAACACTGAATGAGGAAACCACGTTTCTTCACTTCGTATCAATATTACCGCCCTGCTCTCACTCTCCTACAGTTTATTTTCTTCTTTAAATTTAATGTGTTTTCGAATCTGACCACCGTTTTTATTCATAATTGTCCTTCATTCTGCACTTAAATGATCATGTCGATTGATTGATTGAACAATTTCAGAGAACACACTTTCTTTAATTTTTCTCTTACGATAGTCTGTCTCAACGTCGAGAATCATTGCTCAAATAAACATTGCTAGTTTTTTTGATGGTGATGTTGGACAATTTCCGAATGTGTTTCTAAACTATCTTTTTCAATAAGGGAAGCGTGCTGCTTCATTCGATTTTGCAAACCGACTTTAGTCTCACCCACGTACGATGCTCCACACTCACAAGGAATTTTGTAAATAACTGATCTCGATGTCATCTTTTTGTTTGATGGCAGAAACGATGACAACTTCTTTCCATAAGAAAAATACAATTTTATTTTTAGACGTTCCAGTCTTGCCTTCAAAACTTCAATACTTGGATAATAAGGAAGTGCCATACTGAATTTCGTTTCTTCTTTTGGTTTTGGGAGAGTAGAACTTGTGGCTTGAGTTGAAGTATTTGGTTGCTCTCTTACACTTTCACGAATGAACTCTTCAACTTGTTTTGACGGGAAATTTGACTTCGCAAGCATTTCTCCCAATTTGTTTAAATCTTCCTGTTGCTCAGTCGCATCTTTAGTCGTAGTAATGATTCTTTTTGATATATTTTTCACAATGTTTCTCTTAACGGACTTTTGATGGCAACTCTGAAAATTGAGAAAACGATCACTCGCTGTCTCTTTTCGATACCATCTTAATTTAACTTGGTCATTGATGGTATTTCGACTGAGTGTTGTGTCTAGAAAATTCAGCTGTCCGTTGCTTTCATATTCTGAAGTGAATTTAATCGTATTGTCTAATGCATTCAAAGACTGTACAAAGTGATCTAATTCACTTTCATCCATTCTATATATTTATTTGTTCTTCATTTTTTATTTTTTTTATTTTTTCATAGTTATGTTTATGCTGTCTTTGCTGGTCGTTTTTAATGAGATATTCCGCTAGTGAGGGGGTGAGGTGAGGGTGAGGGTGAGTCATTTATTTGTATCACTCTTTTTATTCGTTATGCAATAGTACACGCAGTGTTTATTTCTTCGTATAATACGCTTATGTAAGGTTACTAGGCACTTATGCTTGCATTCGGTCTTATATTCTTTTGCAGTCGTTCGTGTGGGACTCCCTGTTTAATTTTTGTGTCATGTCCTGCGAAGAGTTCCGTATCCTTTTAAATTGTAAAGGTGAGATGGCGAATGCAGTAGTGGTGCTTCTGGGCATCCAGGTCAGATCGACACAAGTCGCATCCAGAAATATTAGATCTAACAACTGAGATTGAAGAAAATAAGAATATGTTACTATTTTCCAGTAACTATGTGACCAACTGGCAGTCGATTACACAATGTTTTACTCGGACTTTTCTTCGAGAACATGTCATGATTAAGTCCACGGAAATAAAAGCTATGAAATAGATAAACTCTTATTTAAAACCTTTTTTATAGAAATTAAAAATTAATAGTAAAAAATAAAAACAGCGTGTTCGGAAGAAGTTATAAAAAGATACCAAGACGTGGAGTGAATGTTTAACGTCTGCTCTACACTTTCTTAACGAACTGGTTTACAATTCTCTTGTTGCGTTTATATAAAAGAAACTAAATTTAGAATAGAACTCTAGCGTATTTGTCTTTATCTTTATCTCGCATATACGACATTAATGTTCACATTAGGATATGGATATGTGACATACAGAAAAAGAAAAAGAAGACTTACACGCTAGAATTCTAATAAAATTTGTTCTATCTGTTATTCGATATTCTTATCTATCGTCTATATAAAAGAGAAAACACGACAAAATGTGCGCGTGGAAAGGAGAAAAGAAAGGAGAGAGAAAAAGAAAAAAGTTTAATATACAAGTTATGCATGAAACGATCAATGAATTAGTTAAGGATCAGAATAAAATGAAAAACATTAGCAAGAAACTACTACAAAAGAACGTTGCTAGAGAAATAGAATCATCATATAAATGGATGATAGAGAGTATGAACCATATAAGAAAAAACGACCTGAACATGGACTTCTTACCGATGCAAAAACACGGAAAAGTCCTTGAAACGGTATACGAATGGATAACAGGAGGAAACGACCGCTTTCAAGGCGTAACAATAGCCACTTTTATTCAACAGTTACTAGGGGCTATCGAGATAACATTCGAACCTTTTACTAAAGATACAGAAAAAATAGTCTCTATATTACGAGACTCCTTATATCATCGAATTCGAGTGCGTACCCTTTCTCTAATCTAAGTACATATGTGCCATTGCTCTTACAGGGCATGTTTCTTAGTGCGATGCCGTTTTTTGCACATACAAATGTTTCTCCGCATTCCAGCTGCACTACGGTTATGTCACAAATCTCTTCGTATGATGTGTCCTTTATGCATTTTATTGGCTGAAATGTCGATACTATCATGAGATCATTGCGTATGCTTTTTATGTATGGGGATAAAACCCGTAGTACCTCAAAATTATCCGACGAGGTCTACCAGGAAAACCTCTTCGGAAAAATTTACTTTCTACATGGATAAACGTCCCACGAGCTGCTCTTTTCAATAGTGAAAACTGCAGGTCTCTGGATCTTTTCGTTCCGGAATTATAATAGTTTTGCAAATGACCGCGAACTTTTTGCTCAACCTAGTAATTAGTGCATGACCTTTTAATTGAACCGGTGAACTTTTGTGCAGGCATGGTCTTATACTGAGGGGAGTCGTTATCCAGGGGGGGGCGGGGGCATCTATAACGTTTTAGTAAAATTTGTATTTCGTCGATCAGCACTAGCAACTATATCGTGTTTCACATTTTAATCCCAGAGGAATTGCACTAACAGCTTTTTTTAAAGAAACGATTAACTAAAAAAATGTATGAACTACATTCGTGCTTATTTTTCATCAACAACGATCAAGTGTAAAAAAGGTAAGTTATGGTAACATAGTAACATCTTAGGTTATCACAAATGAACTTTTTATATGGACTATTTCGAAAGAGTGATGGCTCTTTATCAAC